CAACCTTGAGCCGGTGAGATTTGAACAGCTGAACTGCAGAACTGCAGTTAGCTGAAGTAGCCTGCAGTGCTGCATTTAACCACTGCGCCACCTTGGCTCTCACCATGCCAGGGGACAGAGGTGTTTTTGCCTTCCCCAGGCTCCAGAGGCCAGAAATGGGCCTATTTCTGGCCTTCCGGAACTCCAGGACCGGGAGGCCCATTTTTCACCCTCCCCGAGCCTCCACATGGGCCCTGCACTTGCCTCGCATTCAAAACAGGCCACGTGGAGACGTAGGGAGGGGTGGGGAGGGTGGGACCCACTAAGTGTGGGATTTGTAGATTCTCTGAACTGGCTGTAACGTTAGCTACAGATTCTCCCAAGCTGGGAGAATCGTAGCAGCCCAGCCCTGGAGGTTAGTCCACAATATTTGAAGATTTATTACAAATTACTTTAAAATACCCCCAATGTTTGGAAACTGTCAGCTATCAATGGATATGCGCTAAGGACAAATGACAACATCCACTCACGGATAGGCTAAAAGAAACAGATAGGAGGCCATCGGGTGGATTTAACTTTTGTTTTGTTTTTGGTAAAACCATGTTTGGGCTTTTTCTCAGAGTAGGAACCCATTCAAGTTGTTTTCCAATAGCGAAGAAGAGAAAGAATGCCACTATTATGCACACAGAATAGAATCAAGCATCAGATAGAGACGACAGAGGGGCATTGTAATTCCAGCTCAGCTAAACTGTTTATAACAATTTCCTGAAACTAAGTTGAACTTGGAAATCACACGGAACCCAAAATGTCAGGCATGGAAATCGAAAGATAATGCCAACAGCTGAATGGAATGGAAAGGACAATGGTGTCGCCCTGGGTCAAGAAACCCACCAGTGAGGAGTCTCTTGGTTAATCTACTAGTTCACCTAATCTTGACATGGATTTATCGCTGTTAAAATATCTTTATTAAATTTCCCCAAACAAACATTAAAATACAAAGGGAAGGGAGTTCCATGGGATGGTTGGCCAACCTCACCTCATTCAGTGCTTGCCGGTCTGTTTTAGGCAGGTTTTTGGCTTCGTTGTCAGCTTCAGCCCATTCCTTCATCACCTGTGAAATCATAACAGGAGGACAGTGGTGTTTGTTATGTTATCATAACAAAAGGACAGGGAGGGGTTTCTGCTGTAGAAATTGCTTCCGGAAAAACAGTTTCTGTTGTCTGGGGAGATTCTCAATCATCCAGGTCATAGTTGTCTCAAAGGTGCTTTTCTTCCTTGAGGAAGAAAACGTTTCGCTTCTCATCCAAGAAGCTTCATTAGTTCTGATGGTCATACTAACCAAGGGGTGGGTTCCTGTACAGGTTGGTACCGCTTCGCTTCGCTCACGTGTGCAGCCTCCGTGCGTTGCTTGTGCATGCTCAGTGGACTGAAAATTGTTCTGTGCATGCGCAGAAACTTGCCGGCAACAGCAGAAAGACCGGGGAACCAGTTCGGGGGCATGGCCAGCCTGAGTCACTGCTGGTTCTGCGACCCAGGCCAGATAAATCACCACTACTGGTTCGGCCGAACCAGGAGCAACCCACCTCTAATACTGACTATCCTTCCATCCCCCTGCCATTGAGCCATTGTCTCTAACCTAGGTCATGGTTGTCCTAAAAGTTCTTTTTTCAACAGGCAACTGGACTTTCTAGTTCTTCTTTGAAGACGTTTCACTTCTCATCCAAGAAGCATCTTCAGCTCTGACTGGATTGTGGGAGCTGAAGATGCTTCTTGGATGAGAAGCAAAACGTCTTCAAAGAAGAACCAGAAAGTCCAGTTGCCTGTTGAAAAAGCACCTTTGGGACATTAAGCATGGTCTTCTCTTGTTGCACATCTGCATAGTGACCCAACTTTACTAAGCCATCAGACTCTGACTCCCAATCTCTCAAAGCTAGAGAGAACTATCTGCCTGAACAAGGAAGAGGAAGCTGTTTTCATGGACTTATAGAACTGTGGAGCTGATCATTTGTTCAACTATCTATGATATGCAGGAAACTATCAACTATGATGTGTAGGAAAACCAAATAAGCTATCCATGGGAGGCGGTCGCTCCACTCCCATCTTAAAAACCTCCAGAGTAGAAAAATACCAATTTCACTGCTGACACTGTTAACTTGTAATAGTGGTTCAACGTTGATCTCTTCTGATATGAACTTTAAGTTAAAAAATAACAACTGATCTCTGATCTGCAAAACATGGAAACTATTTCCCCATGGAATAATTCTTTAGGAAGCAACAAAAAAGTGAAAGTGAAAGAGAGAAAGAAAGAAAGAGGGAAAGAGAGAAAGAAAAGAAAAAGAAGGAAGGAAGGAAAGAGAAAGGAAAGAAGAAAATAAAAAAGAGAAAAAAACAAGGAAAAAAGGAAGGAAAGAAAAAGGGAAAGAAAGAAGAAAATAAAAAAGAGACAAAAACAAGAAAAAAAGAAGGAAAGAAAAGAAAGAAGGAAAGAAAGAAAGAAGGAATGAAGGAAAGAAAAGAAATAAAGGAAGGAAAGAAAAGAAAGAAAGAAAGAAAGAAAGAAAGAGAAGGTAGGGAGGAGGGAAGGAAGGAAAGAAATTAAGAAAGAGAAAAAAAGGAAAAAAAGAAGGAAGGAAAAGAAAGAAGGAAGGAAAGAAAGAAAGAAGGAATGAAGGAAAGAAAAGAAATAGAGAAAGAAGGAAGGAAGGAAAGAAAGAAAAAAGAAAGAAAGAGAAGAAAGGAAGGAGGGAAGGAAGGAAAGAAAGAAATTAAAAAAGAGAAAAAAAACAAGGAAAAAAGGAAAGAAAGAAAGAAGGAAAGAAGGAAGGAAGGAAGACTTAGACATGGCTCCTACAAATCAATATGATTTATATTGCACATCCATCATTTCTAAAGGAAATAGATCGTCCCCATCATTGTAAGGGTGCAATCTGTCGAGAGAGATTCTTTGATGGTCCCGTGGGTGTGGTCTGAAGTCATCCAACTGAACCATACAAGGAAAGCTTGTGTATCTGCAAGCTGAACAAATCCTCCTTCCTCTCTGTCCAGCCGTTACCTCATTAATCTGTTTCATGCGCCGCTCCTCCAGGTCCATCTTGGCTCGCAGGAAGTTGGCATGTTCATTCCCATCTCCAGGCATTTCGAAATAAACATCCACCCCATCCGTTGGGCGAGGGGTTGGGGTCACTGTATAGACAGCAGCAGTCATGTTACACAAGGCCATGGCTTATCGGTCTTAAAGCAGAGATAACATAATCTGCTGCCTTTAAAATGTTTTGGACAACAACAACAAATGGGAAAGGATTATATAAGAGCCATGACGGCACAGTGGTTAGAGTGCAGCATTGCAGGCTAATTCTGCCGACTGCCAGCAGTTCGATTCTTACTGGCTCAGAATTGACTCAGCCTTCCGTCCTTCCAAGGTCAGCAAACAGAACCCAGATTATTGGGGACAATAGGCT